TAATGAAATCTTAAACGTTAACATATTTGGAACAAGCTAAATACGTAGAATGATTTTGTTTGATAGTTATCAAGTTTTGTTTTATAGTGGGTTCCTAATACTACAGAAAGATTTACTTTAGAAAACTATTGATGAGATAGATGGATTTATTTTTTGTATTACGAGAGAGAAATTAGAAATCAGATTTTGAATAGTTTTGGTAAATTGAAAGTACGAATGTATTAAAAAGCTTTTGTAACAATAGAGTGCATTAGTTACATTCGAATGAACGATGTGGAAAAGGAATGTGAAATGAATGGATGTTAAGGATTATGTTAAGTATGTGATTGATAGATTGTTTTGATTGTAGAATGGAAAGTATTATTTTAGAAATAAGGGAATACTTTAGTAGAGATATTTTGTAACACCAGTGGACTTCAGCCGTCTATCCACATGGATGATGTTGATTCCCGTCTTCAAACTTTTATGTGGCTAAACTATCACCATATAAATAAATTATATTGTAGGCATTCAGTTACTTCGGTTAGAAATATAACAAGAGCACAAATTGTGATGTTATAATACGCGTCACACATCATGGGTACGCTACTCAACAAGATAACTACGTTCGTTCGGCTCGCGGTTAGCAAGCTCGGTCAACCCCAAGGGAGTTAAGTGTGATACAACTCTCTCTGACTGTTATTATGAATGTATGGACCCAGTCTAGTACAATGACTTGCTTTTGTTCATAAAAGGCTCCCTTATTGTGCTTATAACAAACATGAAAGGATATTTTTTGATTAAATGACAGAATGTGCTATGCATGCGTAGGCATATTACGAGTAATGTGTTTACGGAGAGAAAAATAACGTTTTTGTTTACATTTCTAAACGACGTTTACATTTGTAAGAAAAAAGCTTGAGTGGCGGCTCGGGAAAAATATAGCACCATTTGTTACGCTTGGTTCCATTTCGCTATTCCCATTTAAGTAGTACTTTAGGTACACGTAGAATAAATGCGATATTTTAGGCTTAGCGTATACTGAGATAGGTACAGCTGACGAAGTACAAAAGAAATGTCAACTAACATCGAAAGACGATAAGCTGTTGATATACGCAAAGATTACGATGGAGTTGACGTACAGTCAGCGTCAAATAGTTCGTGATACCCAAAGTACCTAACCAAAAAGTTCACAACGCATCTTTAATGAATCATAAGGTTGTTTTATAAAGTTTTTGGCCATTTTGGGTGTCCGTGTCATGAACTATTGCTGAGGCTATTATGTGGCATAGAAGTTACCTATGTCGAGGAAGTACACACTTTATGCCTTAGGGCTGATTTTTCAATCGTCGGATAACTTTTAACTGAGGATTAATTTTGGCACATTGACAGTTTCAGTATGGGAAATATGGTTCCAAAATACTGAACTGTCCTATCCATGACGCTCGCTGGTTCCGATTTTTGCCATGCTGGAAACCATATTATACCTATAGATGACCCACGCTGAACTGTCCCACCAAACTCAATGACAGGGGGGCGCTACCATCGTTCAACTATATGGTTTCAAACATGGTAAAAATCGGAACCAGCGATCCGGTATTGACGGTGGCGCCCCACTGTCAATGTCATGCATAGGACAGTTCAGTATTTTGGAACTATAGTTGAATGATGGTAGCGCCCCCCTGTCATTGAGTTTGGTGGGACAGTTCAGCGTAGGTCATCTATATGTCAAAATGACAAGGTTTATTCTTCAGTTAAAAGATATCTGACGATTGAAAAATCGGCCCTTGGATAAATTAATTCGATGCCCCTTTTCTACTTTCTGTTTACTAACCAGTGAATAAGCACGTTCCCATCTCGTAGCCGGGCCGCGTGTATGAAGTCGTTGCATAAACTGAAGTACTGGGTCAGGTTCTGATCGGGCGAGTCTGAAGCCATTATGCAGAGGTAGTGTTTATCCTGTAAACAAAGAAAATAAATAAGTAAAGTTTACAATTAAAAGCACTTATTCAAGTATTTTTTTCATGCAACTTTTATTTAAAATATCTAAATCAGATTTTTGTTCTAACTTTGGGCTTAAATGGACTTCAGTATAAAATGTCGCATCTTCCAATTTATTCACTCAACACGACTGAATAGTTTCAGTTTCAAGTTTCCAACAAGTAGAAATCTCAATTATAAGAATATTATGTAATTATGTAACTAGCTGACCCGGCGAACTTTGTTCCGCCTTAATGGCAATAAATAAGCAGACTTTTTTTTTTATTTCAAACGGGATAAAAAGTATCTGAAGAACTTCTCCTGGCTCTAAACTACCTCCCTAACAATTTTCAGCTAAATCGGTTCAGCCGTTCTTGAGTTATAAGTGGAGTAACTAACACGACTTTCTTTTATATATAGACTAGCTTTCCGCCCGCGGCTTCGCCCGCGTGGAATTTTGTCTGTCACAGAAAAACTTTATCGCGCGCGTCCCTGTTTCAAAAATCGGGATAAAAACTATCCTATGTTCTTTCCCGGGACTCAAACTATCTCTATGCCAAATTTCATCAAAATCGGTTGCGAGGTTTAAGCGGGAAAGCGTAACAGACAGACAGACAGACAGACAGACAGACAGACAGACAGACAGAGTTACTTTCGCATTTATAATATTAGTTGGGATAGATAGAAGAAGATAATAATTTTAATAATTGAATATTGCGATGCATGCTTGCTTTATACTTTCTTACTTACTTATTTTTATTTATAGAAATAACCAAGTCCCTAATCCTAAATCTTTGTGGTTTAATACCCCACAATAGGGTGATATTATCAAGCTGTATCTAACTTTTTCGCTGACAGTCAAGGTCGTTCATTCGCAAACGAATTTTATTCCTTTTGGCTTTGTTTGTTCAGGAGAAAGTAAAGGACATTGTCAGAAACCGCCTTAGATNTGTATGAAACTAAAAAAATAAATTAATGAAAACATGCCTCGAATGTTCAGAAAAACTTGTTGGCAGAGAAGACAAAAAATTCTGCTCAGACAGCTGCCGAAATGCCTACAACAATAAAATAAATAAAGACAGTAACAATTATATGCGTAATGTAAACAATAAATTACGAAAAAATTACCGTATTTTGTCTGAGTTAAATACTGATGGGAAATCAAAAGCAACAAAAGATAAAATGATTAATAAAGGCTTTGATTTTGATTTCTTTACCAATATCTTGCTGACCAAAACAGGAAATACCTACTATTTCCTATACGACCAAGGATATCGCTCTTTGGACAATGATTATTATATGCTTGTTAAAAAAGAAATTTAGTTTAATACTCATCATGAAAAAAAACCCAGCCTCAATTCTGGCAGTAGTCTGCATTTTAACCCTATTAGGCATTATTTATGCCGCTATGATGCCGCAATGGCTGTCAAAAAATGATGAAGCACTCGCTGATTTTTCGACTGAAAGAGCCTTCAACCAAGTGCAGATTATCGCTCAGAAACCACATTATGTTGGGTCAACAAATCATGAATTAGTAGCAAACTATCTTAAACTTGAGCTTAATCGCATTGGTTTAGAAACTAGTGTTCAAGAAGGTTTTACACTAAACGACAAAGGTCTTTTAGTAAAATCAAAAAACATTTTAGCCCGTATCAAGGGTACTAATAATACTAAAGCACTTTTACTTTTATCGCATTACGACAGTGCTCCGCACTCTTTCTCAAAAGGCGCAAGTGATGATGCATCCGGCGTAGCTACAATTTTAGAAGGAATTCGTGCTTTCTTATACGCTAAACAGCCTCAAAAAAATGATATTATTATTCTTTTTTCAGATGCTGAAGAATTGGGTTTAAATGGTGCTGCACTTTTTGTAAACAAACATCCATGGGCAAAAGACGTTGGTTTAGTTTTAAACTTTGAAGCCAGAGGAACTTCGGGACCAAGTTATATGTTAATGGAAACAAACAAAGGCAATCAAGCACTTGTTCAAGAATTTTCGAAGGCAAAAACAGCTTATCCCGTTTCTAACTCATTAATGTACAGCATCTATAAAATGCTGCCAAATGATACTGATTTAACTGTTTTTAGAGAACAGGGAAACATTCAAGGATTCAACTTTGCTTTTATCGACGGACATTACAATTATCATACGCAGCAAGACGATATTCACCATTTAAGCAAAACTACACTGGCGCATCAAGGATCTTATTTAATGCCTTTGCTAAAATATTTTGCCAATACAGACTTGAACAAAACTTCTTCATCNCTACACTAAAAAGTAGAAAAATAATTACTAATTTCCTAGTTATTTATTAGGACGAATTAATATTTATGTAGGTATACCATGATTGATACTTTTGGAGTTGGTGCAGGCAAACTTTACATGTTTCATAATCTTGGCACCGACTCCAAAAGTATCAATCATGGTATACCTACATAAATATTAATTTGTCCTAATAAATAAGTAGGAAATTAGTAATTATTTTTCTACTTTTTAGTGTAGGTTTTTTGGAGTCGGTTTTATTTTTTTTTATAAAATTTTTGCGCTCACCAGTTCGGTAGCCATAGTAACTCTAGTGCATTGGTTCCCAAACTTATTTGAGACACGCCCCCTTTCGACCATACAAAAAATTCCGTGGCCCCCCTCCTCCAGTCAAGATTATTTATTGGTCGTATCAAGCAGTCTGGAATGCATTCTCTCAGCAGTCGCGGGTTTCTTAAAGATGACCCTCGCCCCCCTTTAAAGGTCTTTGCGCCCCCCACTTTGGGAACCAATAATCTAGTGCAGCGGTTCCCAAACTTATTTTGTCTACTGCCCACTTTGAGAATAAATTCTTTTTAGCGCCCCCATTTGTAGTAGAGTGTCGAGTGCTCAGTCGGTGTCTAAGAGTCCTCCTAGTAAATGACGCCTCCCAAGCCTCTACACAATGTCCCATTTTTTTTTCTGGGTCTCTTACCGCCCCCCTTTAAGCCTGCAGCGCCCACAAGGGGGCGTTATCGCCCACTTTGGGAAAGACTGATCTAGTGTAAGTAGATCTCACCTGGACATCCATCATTCTTCCAGGTGTTCCAATGCTCCTCGCGGCGGAGGATGCGTTTGACACAATCCGCGAATCGAGCGCCGTCTGGTGGCGTCTCTCCTAGCAGTTTGTACACCTGGGATGTCGTGTCTTTGACCCAATCCAGCTGTTCGCTTTTTAGCTCTTGAGACTCCCTGGAAGCAAAGACAGACTGTTAAATAGTGCTGATAAAGAAATAACAAGTATGTATAATTTAATATATCCTTGGATATTTTACAGGGCTCTTAGATTTATTACAAAGCTTTAACTATAGGCATCAAATTACAGAATATAAACAATTTTTATTATTTAGTTCTTCTGTTTTTATAAATAGTAACACCCTGTATCAAATACTATCTTTTCGGGTTAACTTTATGTAAAATTTTTCACAGAATTGGATTTAAATTTTATGAATTAGTTTAGTATGAGACAAGAAAAAGAGTAATATTTCTTACATTTTGAACTTTACTGTACACGTCAAATACTGGAAAAGTATCAGGAACTGTATCAGAACACATCTTCGGAAGTTCGAGTCGGACAGCTGAAGTTCCAACAGCTTCTGGTTGGTGAGGAACTTTGCAAAGTAATGCTGTTCCTTGCTTGACTCTGACATTTCCACGTCACCGCCTACAGTCTTCAGTCTGTACAGTTTAGCCTTCTGTAGTTCGATAGCTTCTAACTTGTACGATGCAAATGCTGAGAGGACACTGCCTGAATGCTGTAAGGTTTAGAATAATCAGTATAAGTTTTACAAGGTTATTTATCATGAAAATAAGCAAGTACATGAACATACTTTAACTCTGTTGGTAGCTAACAGAGTTCAAAAATAAAACTTACTGCAACAAATGTTTTCCACTGTATTTTATTGTAACAAGTATTTGGGTTCCTGAAGAAATCTTGCAGACTCCAGAATCTACAATACAAGTTGTAATCTATGTTCAGCTTGTTTTGCTCAGTGTCCACAACCATTTCTTCGTCCAGCGAATCTTTAAGTGTACTTGTACTATCTCCCCCAAACTCCGTCACATTCTCAAGGTTGAATTCGGACACAATATTAAGTCCAGAGCGCTCCGAGAATGGGAAAAACTTTGCCAAGAATAGCAAGATTCTACCACAAAAGACAGTGTTTTGGGATCTCGATAAACGTCTCAATAAGTCATTGCACATTCTGAGCAGATTATTCTTACATGCTACAAAGAACAATTCTTCTTTCCAAATATTTACACCATTTTCTACATAAGTAAACATCTTCTCACATTTGTTCAAGGTGAGGGCATCAAATATGTCTCCCAGCAAGACGACTGGCATCGTAGGAGTTACCATCTGCCGTCTACACGACTCTATACAGAAACAGACATAGTTTTCTAAAGTGTTAGGTTCTTCAACCAGCAGTTCTAATAACTTATCTCTAAATGCCTGATCCATGGCAGCTTTCCTGTCCACTTCACTGGTGTTTTTTGTGAAGGAATCCAGCAGGTCAATATTATTGGTGGCAAATGCTTTGGATAGAACATCCTGAAACATCAAGACAGTAAGTTTAAGCACACAGAAGATGCAAGTTAAAATAAATGTTTGGTTATAATTTTTACTCACTTTATATTTTGCTCGAAGCTCTTCAAAGCCAAGTTTTTCAGACATGTTTGAGCAAACACATAGAAGTCTTTCTTATCTATAATTCAGAATACTCCGTTAAATTGCTTTTTCGATTAACATACCGAAATAAATCGAAAATCTCCAAACCAAACCAACCAAAGCGTTTTTTTTTATGTTTGACTTTTTGACATTGATCAGTATTTCATTCTACGCATGCATAATAATATAATTAAACAATTTTATTATTTCCGCTAAATGTAACTACAATATTAGTAAGCAAACATCATGTCACTAATTTATTGAAAGAAATTTATTAAAAGATAAAAAACTCTCATTAATAACAAAATTCGAATAGAGTTCCGGATTCAAAACACACAAATACGCTGTATAAGCTGCTTTGTCATTGAGTCTATTCTAAGAAAAGTAACATTTGAAATCTTATTGCTAGTGCATTAAAAAATCCTTTAGTTTGATTGGTCAATGCTGCGCGTCCTAGATAATTTAGCCAATCAGAATACATCTTGAATTCACACGAGTGCAGCTGATTGCTTTTTGACAGTTATCTGTCATGTCTGTCGTGTTGTGTGGCGTCTCGACTATTTATCTTTAGAATCGTATTGTTATTTACAGATTTTTTTACATTAACTCCTTTATTTCGAAATGTATTAGAGCTTAGGCTTAGCATTAATTAGTTTCACATAAGGATTACTCATAGAATTTAGCATAGGAGGTTAAAATAGTGTGCTATTTTGAAACATGGACCGAAACAATATGAGGTACGTTGCTTTTCCTTTCGCTAACATGATCGCACTTTCACGAGCTAATCCGTGTTTATTTTTAAAATTAAATGGAAGCACATTGCAGAGTAAAGATCATTTTTTCTAACCTAGTTTACAAAACGTTTTACATTGGCAATCTTATAATAATCGCGATATGCAGTTCGATTTTTTGTTTCTTTGTGGTCGAATGATAACGCATTTTGTTCCCGTTATTTGTTTCATACATTGGAGATAGCGTGTTTATGTACCTAATCCGCCACTTGAGTAAATAATGTTGGTTTTCGAGAGAAATCGTGTGTTTACATTGATTGGAATAACGTTTTGTTCTTGTTGTTGTTATGGACTAGTGCCGCGTTATCGTGCCACGCGAACAAGACATCGATATCTTATACAGATTGTAATAGTACATAATTTGCACAATAGCTGAGATAACTTGGTAACTGACCTTCTTTTTATTTTGTTCCAATTTGGTGATGAGTATTTTCAACTTTATAACAATTTTATTTCCTGGCTTTCTTTGTCTTCATGATATAAAAAAAAAAAAATTTAATAAACAAAAGAATTTTATTCATTTTAATCTATGAAACAATAATAAGTATGTAAACAAGCAACCATTTTCATGTGAATTCCAGATCAAGCTATGTGAATAGTGGCCCGAGATCGTTGCCCCATATGGGTGGAAGCAAACGTCACAATGGCAACGGGCACAACGGTAACGGTCACAATGGTAACGGGCATGGACATGGACACGGACATGGACACAACAGCAACGGCCACAACGGAGCACGTCTCAGCCCACCGATGCCGTCTCCACAAGTCAGCGCCCACAATAACAACAATAACACTAACCAGCACGACGATCTCATCAATTACATTTATGAATCTTGGAATAAGGTGATAATCTTGCACTTTTACTGCATACCTACTTAATAGCTTTGTTAGATAAATTAAGTCTCTATGTGACTTCTTATGTTTTACACAAAGGCAAAACAATTGAGGAGGTTAGGAACAGAAAGTGACATTTACACTTTTTAATTATATGAATAAATTAAGAAAATAAATATTTTTGTTGAACTTTATGTGTTTTGTTTTTTTTTTGTTTTTAATATTATGGGTTAATAAGACATAGACTACAAGGTATTAAAAGTTTTCATGTATGTTTTAAAATTTAGTTAAACATAGACATAGATTACAAGGTATATAATAAGGTTATTCGATTAAACATATCGATTCGACCTGTCGTCATAATTTATTTTGGGCAAATCGTTATTTTTTAAGAAATAATGTACCCGTTTTGATCCGACCTTAAAAGCCTCAGAAATATTTACAAAGGAAATGACACTTTTTGATTATTATGTACAAATCACTATTGAGATTGAATTAAAATGTAACTTTTTGTTTCAAAAGCAGTAGTTCAAGTTGATTTTTCTATGAAATTAAGCACCTTCAGAACCAATGTCTTGCAGATAATGATAGAATTTATCCTTCCAAGTAAGAAAAAAAACATAAAAAAAATGAAGCTGATACGTAAATGTCACCTTTTGTTCCTAACCTCCTCAATTATATGAGCAGAATAAAATATTTAGAAAAAAAATTCAAATTCAAATTTCTTTATTCATAACCAGGTGTTTTTTCATTTCTATATTGCAATCGAGGATTTCTTTAAAGTAAATAAATACTTGTGGTAGAATATCCAAAACAGAAAAAGAAACTTATAGTACCTATAGTCTATAGAAATTAAATATTTATGTACAAATATGTATGTTAAAGTCCATTCAGCATTTTCAACTGAATATCATCAAATTCCAGGTGACAAGGGATCTAGAACGAGGTGGTGACGACGCGAAATACTACCAGGAAGTGATGGGTCCCCGTCAGTTAGCCAACTTCAGACCGTTCAACCTGGAGGAGTGGTGGGCTCGCCGCCTTCTGCAGACCATAAACCGCAATAAACACCGGTCTTAGTTCCCGATTAAACAACCGTGGTACAATGTTTCATACCGTTCGTTTAAATTTTCATTGATGACCGTATTATTTCTTTTGGTGTTTTTTATTTTGGTTAAGTATTTCATTCTGCTATTTGTTTGGGGGCTTGTTATTATTCTAGCCTAATAGTAACATGGCAATGACGGTTTTCGCGAATGAAAGATCCGCTAGATGGCGGGGCGTGGATGTGGGGTCTGACTGCTGCGTGACTGGTGGATTTTGACATATCTGTCAATGTCATGTCAAAAATAACCAATCATGCAGCATTTGGACCTCGCGTCTACGTATTTCCATCTGGCGGATTTTTCATTCGCGAAAACCCTCATTATTTGATAAAAACTGCATACTGTTGAGTTTTTACTGCATGTACAGTCAGCATCAAATAGTTTGTGACACCCATAGTGACCAAAAAGTGGATAACACAACCTTATTCCGATTGTAACAAAGACGTGTTGCGAACTTTTTGGCTACTTTGGGTGTCAAGAACTACACACACCGGCAGATTTAGAGGAACGGAAAAAAAAGCATCAATATCATCATTATTTTAGGTAAAAAAATGCCTAATTATGACATTATTTTTTAATTTAATTCTAAATATGAAAAAAATAATTGCCAACAGTATATATTTTTAATTATTTTGTTTAAATTACCCCATCAACAGTTTCGTTGAGTGTTTTGAATTGAATGAAGCTTTTGCTAATTTGGATTTCTTTTACGTGAAAGATGATTTTTTCTGAGAATTTTATTGTGTAAGCATTCAGTTACTTATAAGGGTTTATTATGCCCAGCTTAGCACCGTCAGAAATCATTAAGGCAGATGAAATGAGAAGTAACGGCCATGCATACAAATCGGCTGCCGTAAGACGTCGTTGATCAGTATCGACCACCCATGGCAGTAACCAACGGTACAGATTGATCATTTCTGTCGTTAGGAGGAGGGTTCAAGTCAGAAAAAGGCGTACTTCGCGACGGGATGACCGTTTTTTACAACTTCGAGTTTTCAGAAAGTCGCGGTTACCTGCTGTTCAAGCCAGAAATAACCTTAAAGACACTCGAGGAGTAAGAGTGACTGAGCCCACAGTTCACAGGAGATTTACTGAAGTTGGTATAGGGTCGTGCATACCCGAGAAAGCTCCAACTTGTGACACAGCACCGAAAAAACATATTGAACTTTTCACGTGAATATCGTGATTGGGTCTTGAACGACTGGAGGCATGATCTCTTCACTTATGAGTGCAGAGTTCTCTTAAACCAGATCGATGGAAGATAGCGAATATGGAGACACAAAGAGAACGTAACATTTAGTCTTCATTTTGAAAATATCGTGGTTTATGGAGGTAGCTTAATTCTGGTGTGGGGAAGGATTTGTTTGGGAGCTCGCACGGAGTTAGTGGTGGGTGATGGAGGAAATACGACTTCTGAATGGTACACTAGGAACATTTTAGAAGAACATGATGTGCCATTTACTCCATTTATTGTGGACTCCTTTAGTTTAATTCACGATAATGTTCGTTTTCACAGTGCTCGCTCAGTACAGGCACATCTAAACCATTTGGATATACCCATGATGCAGTGGCTGGCAAGATCCCTAGACAAGAATCCTATAGAGCATGTCTTGGACTTTCTTAAAAGATGTGTTAAATTCAGAATACCACCGGTGGTGTTGAGAAACGCGTTACTAGAGGAATGGCAGACATTGCCCCAAAATACCCTTCATAACATTAACTGCAGCATGCTCAGATGAATGGAAACCATCATCAGAGCAAGAGGGGGAAATACCCATCATTAATTAATTCATTTGGTTAGTGATAAGCTACCCTAATTTTTAATCTGGCCACAATTTCTAATTTTTGTTCAAAACTGAAAAATTGAAATTTCGTTTCGATGATTTTTTATTAAATAAAAACGACTAAATATTTAAAAAATCTATGTTATTTTATTTTATTTTAATTATCTCTTTATTTTGTATAATAAATATTTCATAGATCAGTAGTAATTTTCCTTATTTTTATACTTTTTTTTGCGTTCCGCTAAATCTGCCGGTGTGTGTATTTGACGCGGACTGTACTATGGGTTTCTTAAAATCCTCGATTTTTGGATACACAGTCGTAGTGACTATTCTTAATTTCAAAAACAGGCCTACGAAAATGTAACCTTTAAATGAAGTAACATTTTAATTTCTAAAAAGTATAAATAATATTATGAAACATTGTACCAACTATCTCATTGACAATCGTTTTTGATATTTCTCTTCTGACATTAGTTTCCCTTCGTTATGTTAACATTTTAGCACCACCATGTAGTTTTAGAACCATATTGACCAAGATAATTAGAGTTTCACTAGCTAATTCTAACTAATAACTTTTGTCTCCTAAAATCTATTGTTTTAAACATTCATAGTATCTGTCATGTAACTGATTATGACCAAATAAGCGTAATCTGTCAACCTTGTACAATTTCATCCTTAAGTTTTCCATATTACGGGATTCGAAAGGTAGAAATTCTGATGACATCATGTCAGTAACAAGGACCTCCTATGAAATTACACTCAAGTGTTTTAAACCCTCAAAAATGAATTCAAATCTGTGATTTTTCACAATATTGAGAAACAAATCACTGGCTTGAATCCATTTGTGAGATAGATTTGTATCAGAGTACTATTGGGTATAAAAAATTATAAAACCCATTGAAATCATAGAGTAGGCGCCATTTTACGTGACGTCGCTCATAGCTCTAATTATCGTGGCCGAGAATTAAAATCGATGCATTTTATACATCGCACATTGCATGAAATTATATTGAGTTTACAAAAGAAATCAAGGAAATAAATCTTATTAATATTCCCGTAGAATCGAATCGAATCGACGCTTTGTAAATGTGCCCTAAGTATTTATTAACTTTTTCAAATTAACATTTTACAATTGTGATATAATTTATTTAAAACTAAAACACGAAGAAGCAATAATTGTAGTTGACATGAAGTAGGGAAACAGTTTATCGAAGTAGGAGATCACTAGTTATTGTAAATAAGTTAGAGTGAATTAATATTTTTATTTTAAAGTAAGAGAATGTTAGCAGTAACTGGAATAGGATCAGCTAGAAAACTTGTTTTAATATTTGTGACTTGTCAACGCTTTCAGATATTGAGATTTTTAAACAAACCATTTAAGACATGAACTTGAGTTTGAATGGTGGTTTATTATCAAACTAGAGTGTATTGTCAATGATAAGTAAAGTAAATACTTCAGGAAAGATCAATTACATTCCATACGCTATTCTGTACTTAGCATTTGAAATTATTGTAAATAGATTTTAAGTAATGCAGCGCTGCCTGATTATGGATTTGAATAAAAACATTTTTCAATAAAATTACTTTGTTTTATTCACCCATTCAAATGAGCTTACCCTGATAACCGTATTCCTTCTACAACCGTATCGATTTTCGTATAAAAAAGAGATGGTACTCTTTACGTACCAAAATGAGATATTATATCGCACTAGCGAACGAAGCCAATATAGACTCGATAGTTTGAAACAATTTAATAATATTGTAATCTTGAGAACAGTCTCATTTGGAAAAAACGTAGACACCAAAACCTTACATTGCAAAACTCGGTTCCTGTGACGGCTGTGACTATTTTAGTGAAACTATGATAGTATATGGATAGTTACCATAGCCGTTGCCTCAATGTTTTAAAAGTCAATCAAAAGTTTTGTTATTTTATCTCGTGTGCGTAAATAAGTAATATTTTGTGTACACAGGTCGCATGCTCTCTCCGCTCCAGTGAACATTATTAAAATATCTTCGTGAAAAGGGTAAACGACTAAACTCGCGTTATTTGCGTGGGTTTTCCTCTTTCATGTAAAATTTGTTATGCATTGAAATGAAACAAATTGTAGGGATGGAATAATTGTTTGGTTTTTATTTAATTTAATGAAGCATTTGCTTAAAAAAGCAATAAAATGCCTGCCATGGGTCTCTCTCTTGTGTTTATCTTTACATTTCTCTCGCTGAGCTTTAAGCGAGGTATTACTTATAACAGTGGTCAAAAGCTTGCAGAAGTCAACTTCTGCAAGGTTTATTATTACTAGTCTAAACTTCGCTTTAGGTTTTCTCAGATTCTGTGGCATGTCGTTGGTCATATCCCCATCCAATTCTAATACCATGCGCCCTAGTCCGGGTTCGCTTCGTGGTTGAGTCAAATTCGAAAACTTATTTTTTCTGTAGCGCGTTAGTAGCACGTTAGTGCGTTGCCAATGCGACTAACGTGCGTTGTTATCGATGCTGACAAGAAAGATGTTGTGTGAAAGTCGCCGTGGGTGATGGCCCTAAGAGTATGAGATAAATATGCTTTTATTTATTTCTGTATATTAGAGGACCATGTTTATTGTCCTTTCATTTTATACCTCATAGAAATTCAGAATAGGCAGAGAGCTGTGCCTCTATTTTCCGTCGTATTACCCAACCAACAAATGGGGTGTACTCGAAAAAATTACAAGACCTCGGTAAAGGATGAGCTTGCTATTTGGGCAAACACAGTCTCATATAGTTGAGAGCGTTTCCCGGATTCATATCTGTGTATGGTCGTATGTCAAATAAAGTGGGCTGCTCAAAGCGTACCTACTTGGTTTTGCGGCACGGGCTCCCAAACTTGGAATCTCGGCAGCCACTTCTCTACATAAAATATGAATTTGAATTGTTCCATTTAATAAAGCAGGTATTTCATGGTTGCATAGAATAATGAAAAATTAATTATTTTATGTAGCCAGTTATTTAAAGTAGGTATCAATTCTTAACCCTTAGATTAGCACAAAAGAAGGTGCATGAACTTGTCAACCTTTTTTTTGTTAATCTAAAGAAATACAAGGGCCTGTTCTACCAAAGTTGCTGATCTTCATCAGGGATTTATTATAACTTTTCTGATACCTTTGGTTTCATAGATCTCGGATTGAGATATCCATCTGGCAGTTAGATAAAGTCATCGAAAGCTTTTATTTCTTATCTAACCAACCGATTGAAATCTCCGGTGATGATATTGATGTCCGATGTAACTTGTGTGTGCCAGCGAAAGTGACAATTCTTTCCAAGCCCCACAAGGGGATGCCAATTGCACTTTGGGAACCAGTGCCCTGTATACGTAGAGTAGAGGCACAGGCGACCGCGTTCAGCTTAGGCAACTTGCGCCGTCTAATGAGTTTGAGAACTTCGCAACAAGGAGATTACTGCTTTGTTTTTTATTCGCTTGTTTGGGTAGCGGCTAATTAGGTCTAAACAATAAACACTCGATGTTGAATTAGCAAAATTGTTTTTTATGGAGTGGGCGTTTTCTTTTGTTTTTCTGAACTAAGTAAATCTTCCTTACTACCGTGTGATGAATGAAATGGCTTGGTTATCTTTTGGTACATACCTACACCTAAACTCCATCCAAGTGTAGTGTCTAGAAACGAGAAAAAAGTGCACGTATTTAGAAACCAAACCTAAAACTCGATTCGAAGTCAAGCATAGATTCAAGTCCTATCCCATTAGATTAGACCAAAGGTAGGCTTGAGTCTATTTTTGAGCATAATCGATACTTGAGGACTAGGACTCCGTTGAATTAGCTACAGACTCCTGGCGGAAAACACGGAGGTTTGTGGGCTAACTTGGCGCATGTACCTATGTGACTGATTGTCCATTCGTCAGAGGCCCACATAATGTATAACTTGCTATACGTAAAGTTTTGACTCCGTGAAAAAAGCTATTGAACAAGAACAACAACAGACATTTCGTTCGTTCGTTCGTTCGTTTCAGCCAAATGACGTCCACTGCTGGACAAGGATTTCCATAACGACCGGTCGTACGCTGCCTGTACCCAGGCTCTTCCCGCGACCTTCACCAGATCGTCGTTCCACCTAGTGGGAGGCCTGCCCACGCTACGTCTCCCGGCCCGCGGTCGCCACTCGAGAACTTTTCTGCCCCAAGACAGACATTTACTTACCTCAAATTCGCTCGCCTCCTAAAATGTGCCGCCATAGGCTTCAGCCTACTGGTAAATCCACTTTCGGTAGGACCGTACTGGAAAACGCAGCGTGGGATGTCCACCCACAAGGTGGACCGACGACATCATAAAGGTAGCAGGAAGACGCTGGATGCAGCTACCAACCGGGCAACATGGAAAACATTGGGGGAGGCCTATGTTCAGAAGTGGACTTCCTATGGCTGAGATGATGATGATGATGATGAGGTAAGTACAGACACGTCAGCAAGTCAAGCTAGGTATATTTAAAAAATCTGATGTGTGTAACAAATATGTCCCAAATTCAACAGCAAACAGTTTTTCACTTAGGGTAGGTTGCGCCATCTTACTTTAACTTTGACAAACGTCAAAAATCTGTCAAACTCAATACAAAAAGCACCGATATCGTTAAAGTTACGGTCAAAGTTAGATGTGGTGCAACTCAGCCTCAGGTAAGTAGATATGTTACCGCTGTGCTTTTGATCGTCAGTTTTAAATTTAATTAACGCGGAGCAGCGTGATGAATAGATCTGCGGTCGCAGGCGCCGGCGTAATTGATCGTCTTCGCAAATTAAACTGAAAAACCCCGGGACGAGGTATAAATGTAGGTTACCCGATTTAAAGGTAGACATATTGTATTCTTTTAAAGACTATATTTCGGCAAGTTCTCCCGGCCCGCGGTCGCCACTCGAGAACTTTTCTGCCCCAAGACAGAAATTCACTTAGGGTCAGGGAGGCAACAGTGACTCACTTTTTTTTCGAAGCTTAATAAAAATAGATATCGCTTTAATATTGGCCTAAAATTTGCTCACATTTTAGATACACTATTGAACTGTAACTGAGCACTCATGATTCTACATTATTTACTACTTATGTCAAAGTAGGAACCTAAAACAAAAAAATGATAATTGAGCCACTGTGGACTACTAGGTGTACACACTGACTCACTACCGTGGTACACAGTATTAACGTGGTACGGCAGTATTTATATGAAAAGAAAATGCCCATTCCGCGTAGTTTTTTATTAGAAATAATAACAAAACTGCACAAGCTATTCTTATTATAATCAACAATTCAACACGACTCTTAGTACTTTTATTGCTACCTATAAGATCTTAAGTCATCTCAATCTCTTCGTTATTTATTTCTTCCCTATTTTTCTGTCGGTTTTTTCCGTGGCATTCTGTAAATAAAAAACAAAATTCGATTTAAAGTTATAAAAATATTGAATTCGTATAAAGTATTAAAATTGAGTCACTGTGTACTTCTACGCCATTTTGTAAATATTTGATCAAAAAAACCAAGATGTAAAACAAATTAGTCAAAATTCGGATTAAAGACAATTGATACAATACCTACTATCCGATAAATATAACGGCTATTACCTATAGCAACAAACAAAGATATGAAAACAATCGAAACTCACCTTAGAATGTAATTTAGTGGGCGCGAAAACAAAAAACATTCCCTCACCCTTCCGCACGGCACTTGACCGGCGAGCAAACTGGTTTAAACGTGTTCGGGTACCAAGACCTTTGAATCGGTAAAAGAGACAAATATATATTCCTATGCCTTCAGGTCGAAACATGACTGAGCCACTGTAGCCGACCGAGTCACTGTTGCCTCCTTGACCCTACCTCAAATTCGCTCGCCTCCTAAAATGTGCCGCCATAGGCTTCAGCCTACTGGTAAATCCACTTTCGGTAGGTGAGTATTTCTCAAAAAAAGTGTACATTTTGAAAAAAAAAAGTGTGCTTCGAAACAGTTCAAAAGTTTTATATTTATAAATCATCACACAAAAAAAACACACACACAATTTTGAAGGATGAATATTAATCTTTAAGATAACGAAGAATTATAGCTATAATCCTACTTATTACCAAATATTTAGATATTTTAAAAATAGNCGCCTTAATTTAGCTGCGTTCCGTTTAATAGAAGAGGAGCATCTATAATAAGACTTGATATTCTTCAAGCAACGGTATTTTTATTTAAAGATTTTAACAAAAACAAAATAATCTTTAATCTTTTCCTGGAAAAGTTTTCCATAAGTAACTAAGTAGGTAGTTAAGTGAATACATGTAATTTAATTTGAAACTAAATTGAAGTCCTTTTCAAGAAGCCATACTACTTAAAGCAAAGTATGAAACTGATGCAATTCAAAACGCTGAAGAATCGTAGGTACTGATATTAAAAAGCAGGACGAGGTCTTTCATCGTTCCGTTTTAATTTCATGAGGAATGCTAAAGAGCAATTAAGGGAGAATTAACAAATAATTTATTCTTCGAATAATTTGCATGCAAACTTCATTATTTGCCTTTGTCAATTAATCATGTTCCCAACCTGATAATCAAACTGAAATTGAGAATGTACTGATAATGTTGAAGCGAATCACTATAATTGTTTTGTATTTACATTCGTAAATTGTGTATTTTTGTTAAATTCATTTTGCGTTCAAAAATAGCCTATGTTTTTGTCTCGTGTCCTCGATTCAGCCAAATGACGTCCACTGCTGAACAAAGGCCTCCCCCAAGGATTTCCACAATCGGTCCAGCACTGCTCGCATCTAGGTACTTCCCCAGACCTTCACCAGATCGTTGGTCCACTTAGTACGAGGCCTGCCCATACTATGTCTTTCGGCTCGTGGTCGCCACTCGAGAAAATTCTTCTCCAGCGGCCATCAGCTCTACGAGGTATGCTCCGCCTACTGCCACTCACTCAAGTTATCAATTGTGCGGGCTATGTCGTTTACGTTGGTTTTCCTGCGGATCTCCTCATTTCTGATTCAATCACGCAGGGAAACTGCAAGCATAGCACGCTCCATCGCTCTTTACCGTGACCCTCGTGTCCTATCTATCTCCAACTCTATACAACAATTCATCAAATCGGTTCAGTATTTTGGCGTGAAAATGAAACAAAATGACAGAGTTAGTTACATTATTAGTATAGACCCGCGCCACCCGTTCTTTTTATTAAGCTGAAATAGGTCACTAGTTCGCCACTGTAAAATCTTATTTGAAACAAAGACCTATTTTTCTTCGGAGTTTCTCTCATAAATTTTCCAATATAGAAAATTTAATAAAACCGTTATAGGAAGAGGTTGAATTGTAGTTAAAGCTGATCTTGTCATAAAAATGCCTATAGCGGGTTTATTGTTCATTAGAACAGTATTTCCTTTATAAAAGTTGAATGGCTGGGATTTGAACGTGTACCTTCACAAAAAACTCTTTAGTACCAATAAACCGTTAGCGTATTTTTTTTATTACGAGAGCTAGATTCTGCCTATACCTATGTACTTACTTATTTTCTCTCGTATGGATTTTGTTCAACTACTGCATCGATCGTATTCATGGATTTAAACCTCTTTTACAAGAAAACTGGTGAAAATCCTATCTAGCCAGTCTATCCTTTTCGAAGATAGTTACTTCTTTCTTCTTTTCTTTGAACAACGTGTTTTCTTTCTTTTGAAACTTTCCAAAAGATTTTTTAATACAACTGATACCAGAGAAGGAGATAAAATGTAAAAAAAATAATAAATAAAACAAGTTCTGATTCAAAACTTTTATGTATTTGCTTCATAAAAATATAGCCGTTAGTCGTCAGGATCGATCGGTTATCTTTTTTTTTGTTTTTATTACATTGCTTCGTCAAAAAAATAAACTGGAAGATTCAGATACCGTTTTACTTGCGCAAATAGTCGTCAGTTATTCGTAGTCGATGCAAAGCTGGTGTAATTGAAATTGTCAATTAATTTAAGTACCCTTAATGATAAGATAGAGTACTTCGTTACTTAGCCTATGGACGGATGTTTGATCAGAGAACATCACATTGCGGGGTTAATAAAGGTTTTCTGCAAAGAAACTGCTTTAAAATACATAAATACTTATTAGCAAGGTAAAAATAAATAAGCATAATTAATTATTAAAGTTACTAAGCATAGACCTAAGCTAGCACCTAGCTTTGCTGGGTTATAAAGCTGTTTTTTCGCAAGAATGTTTACCGCGCACTCATGCGCATTATTCTTATAAAAACGTCATTAGATTCAATAGAACTTAATTCAGCAACAAGCGCATTCATTTATAAACGTCATCAAATTCAATACAACTTAATTCACAAATAAGCGCATTTAAAAAGCAACCCAATATTTCCTGCAATGTGACACAATTTTACAACTTCAATCGCACCAGCTCTGTCTCCAGTCATTTGTTTAGTGTCGATACGCCAGCTTTGCTCAGCCAGTCAGTTGTTTATCAATATGTCCTCTAGGCCTCCGCTGGGGCTGGCTGGGACTGGGCGGTGGCTACGCTGGTGGATGTGGATACGGAGTCAGGATCCTGTTCGCGGACTCCCATCCAGGGGAGACGCTTCTGGAGCTCTGCCCTGTTGGAATAAGGGTATTTTGGACGTCTTACACTTGTGCCTATGTTAACACCAGAGTTTTATGCAGAAGATAGCTCAAATTTAATTTAAAAATTTATTAGTACTCGTGCCACTCGTTCTTTGTACCCTACCATTTCTGTTATCAATAATCTCATACAGCAATATTAGTGTTTGTCTAGATTTCAGAAGCGAAATTTTTACAGTGTGCTTTGAGTGCAGTTTGCAAGATTTAAAGATTATGTTGTCAAGTAGCCCACAATATTTTCTTTAATTTTGAAATTGTTTTGGCGGTTGCCAGTTCTGTTATATTTCCATAACCTTGGTATTTTATAGGGGAAAAGATGACTCTTGTTCATACCTGTATCTGGGATGGTTAATAGCGTACACCCATGGGTCTATGCATGAGACCACCTTGCAGCATACAGCGGGGATCATCGTAGCCACGGGCGTTAACAGACCCCTGGAAAAACAACCAGCATTTCTTACAACTCAATAGGACATGAGCATTTAAAGATAAATTGTCAAACAGTAGCTACAATATGACAAACAACATAAGATCTAGAATTTTGGGTTGAAACACATAAAACTTCGTGGTCATCTTTATTTGCGAGAACAACTCATGATCCTCTGAATTTTACATCCAGCTAATTCTTCGTTCTTTGTCGTTTTTTCAGCTCAGCTAAACCTGTCTTATTGTATTAGTATCAATATCAACATCTTGTCTGCGTATAAGACTTCTAATACTTGTAGTAAATACCTACTTGATGTATCACATATTTACCTGTCACCAAAGGCACCGGTCATCGTAACGAAAGCGTATGGCGTCCACGCACACACGAAAAGGAAGAAGATGGTAAACGCCACTTTGGCGATGCGGATCTCCACGCTTCGACCGGCATCCTCCTTGTTGGAGGCGAGGGACTTGACGTTCATCTTCTTGGCTTGCTCTTGCAGCATGCGCTCGTGGAGGCGGACCTTTGGAAGAAAAAGGATAGTTAGTACTGGTGGCTTTGACCGACATCCTTTTTTTGGAGGCGAGGGACTTGACGTTCATCTTCTTGGCTTGCTCTTGGAACATGCGCTCGTGGAGGCGGACCGTTTAGAGAAGACAATGGATAGAAGTTAGTGCTGACATGAGTTCATGGTGATTGAGTTTAGATCCAGCGCACCTTCTTCTTGGCATTTGTTTTGAGGTGCTAGTTTAAGGATCTTCTTAAGGGGTACCTTAAGGGTCCTTTCCTTTCCTCCCTTCCTATTATTTTTTAGTGTACATTTGTGTTAAATTTAAGGTCAAAAAGAGAATAAGTAAAGATGTTTCTTCCGCGATTTCTGTCAATTGGTCTTCGGTGGCTACGAACTATTCTGCCTCGGTCTATCACTTATTCTGAATTTGACTCTAACGCCCGTATTCACAAACGATGCTTGCTTAAGTGAAGCAGCAAATCGAACGCACAACGTTGAATAGAGCTCTGTGATTGGTTCGTGTGTAACCCTGTGCCTCCACGCGCACTGTGAGACCTCATAGTAATGTTTATGAATACGGGCGTAAATATTTAACACGATTGTTACCTAAGTACTATCGTACTCGTATTTACATCACATTGTAATGTTATAAAGTACTCGTAGTGCGTTGTCAATGTTGTCATACTGTAATGTTACACTTTATAACGAAGCTAAGAGCAAAAAGTTCCGAAAAAGTTTTCTCGTAGTCTCATGACTCTCATGTAACTTCAAGAAAGTGTGAATTAATTAATGTAACAGTGTCTGAATAAGTGTACCTTGAGCGATACTTAACATTGTAAGCGTGTGTTACTTAAGTGAAATTTGTACGAAGTTCTCCGACGAAGTTTGCTTTAACATAGCAAACACGTCGGAAGCCATTCTCTTGGGATTGTGCGAGTCAAGTGAGATTATTAATTATCTGCTCAATTCGAGTATTTAATAAAGACATGATATTAGATTAAACTTTCGTTCTAAACTGCTAGAATAGCCGTATTGAATTATCCTGCTTTCGCCTCCGAGATTTATTTTACCATGTAGTACCCCTGTACAACAAGCCAATCCGCACACAATATTCAGCGCAGTAGTAGTAAAAAACAAAAGAGCGGGCAACCCCACCCCTACCACGCTGTGGGCTCGGTGTCCGAGCGGTCTCATTCCTTTGTGCGCACGCGCAACGACCGCACGCAGTATAAGAAAAATGCTTAAGTGACGTCACCAGGACGTTTTTACCGACAAAAAACGTAATTATTTTAAGTTGTGCAGTGTAGTGACGAGAATTAGACCCAACACAAGGTTGGTTGTAACAACTATTTTGTGCAAGTGCTCGTACATTTTTATTATAAGCGTTGTGACACGACGCGTAACTTTGACCCATTTTTAGCTCCAAGTTAACGCGCGATGTTAACTTGAATGATCAAACGAACTTACCAAGTGAAGTTCGATCTAAATTATCCTGTTTTCGCCGAAGAGATTTATGGTCCCTCCCAACCCGAAGATTTCTATATCTTCTTCCCTGGAGGTAAACGTCAATGTCATCTCTTCTCTAAATATAATGAGACCGCTCGGACACCGAGCCCACAGCGTGGTAGGGGTGGGGTTGCCCGCTCTTTTGTTTTTTACTACTACTGCGCTGAATATTGTGTGCGGTTTGGCTTGTTGTACAGGGGTACTACATGGTAAAATAAATCTCTTCGGCGTAAACAGGATAATTTAGATCGAACTTCACTTGGTAAGTTCGTTTGATCATTCAATTATTGAATTTTAGCCGGACTTTACTCGTAATAGGAGGGTCACGTTTTTTCAAGTACCTACATTTATGTAACTACATAGTTTTCATAAGAAGTTTTATTCTTTTACTTAAGTATTTATTTCAATTTCTGTTGCGTTACAATACCCAAGTTTAACCATTTACTTGAGGAATACCAATAAAAGTCAGACGTATAAAAGTCTTTAGGTACGTAAAGGTATTGTGTGAATATCTTTACTCATATTACAAAGCAGAGGAGTGTTTTTGCTTGAATGCGCTAATTTCAGGAACTAGGTACTGGTATGTATGATATGTATTTTTTTGTGTTGGATAGCCCATTTATAAAGATTTAACATCACTCTACAGCCAATAGGGGCGGAGCAGTAAAGAAAAATGTTGCAAAAACGGGAAATATTATTCAAACTATTTTCACGCATATGAAATAGCGGGCACCGCCAGCTAGTCTAAAATATCTATCTACGTAAATAATAGAAATATTCTGTTCATTCCCATCCAGGCTTCCTACATTCGCATCCCTTTGATGTAGGAATAAATTAATTTCCCGGGAAACCTCAGCCTCACAATATGGGCTCGTTATAAAAACACAATACGATTGTATTAAGATTCCCGCTCTGCAAGATGGGCCATTTCAAATTGAATATCTGAAATAATTCAGGGTAATATTCAGAAATGTGAGGGTAAGTTACTACGGAAGCTTTGGTGTTGTTACATCTTTAGGCACATTATTATAGGCTTTTGATCTACATTAATTACTTATAATTGGTAGGTACGATTTTTGATTGTTTGTATTAAATGGGCTCCGAAATTACTACTGGATTGATTTAAAAAAAAGACGCCATTATTTCTGATGTTCATTGGCGTTGCGAAGTTCGCAGGGTCAAAAAATCTTTTATAATATTTTTTTTAATCCACAACGAGGAATCTCTAGGCCTGTCCTGTATCTCACCTGATGGTAAGTGATGATCAGGCCGAAGGTGGAAGCGAGCTTCACCCGGAATCCTCAATCACGGAAGAACTGGCTATCTTACCTCTAACTGCCGGAACACAACAATGGTGTTAGGTACATATTATAAAACGCAGCGTGAGACGTCCACCCACAAGGTGGACTGACCACATCATAAAGGTAGCAGGGAAGCGCTGGACGCAGGCCGCTACCAATCAATCGACATGGAAAGCATTAGGGTTTAGGGCAGGCCTATGTTCAGCAGTGGACGTCCTATGGCTGATGAATATGATTGTTTATAGCAAACAACTTTTCAAGTTTGTTCATTTAACCATTACACAGATAAAATCATGACTAGTGTTACTCAATCTGTAAGTCACAACACAATAGTTAACTACGTATAAAAAACTGGGCTTTAGTGTAATCACAAGTATGTGACCGGATCACCGGACTTACCATGCGTGTAGCGTGTAGCTAGAGTATAGATGAAAGACCCCATAATGCCACAAGAAGAAAGCTCACCCCATAGATATGTAGGTACTTATATCGGTGGGAGAGAGCGCAAACAGCGCTCTCCGGTCAGTCGCACTCGCACGCTTTATTTCGCGATATTGGAACTGTTGTGTACAGTCGTGTGCACAGGTGCTACGAAATTTCAATTTATTTTGGTGATCTTAACTCTCAGACATGTTTTTGAGTCGGACTCTGACAATCACAGAAGTTGCAATGAGGGTAAAGAGGGAGGAACATCCTCGTAAAAACAATATTACAGCAGTTATAATTGATCTTAATTTAAAGGTCATATATTTTGGTGATCTTAACACTTAGACATCTTTTTGAGTAGGACTCGGACAATCACAGAAGTTGCAATGAGGGTAAAGAGGGAGGAACAGCCTCGTAAAAACAATATTACAGCAGTTATATAATTCATCTTGGCAAGGAGTATAGCGCAGCGTTTACACAGCATGAATTATTATTTATAGAGCCTGAATATAGGCGTCAAATCTTAAAAAAATGATTTGTATTACCTTAGCACGGCAACATTTACCTGAAACTTAAATCTTGATCAAGGATATTTAACTTTGGGTGTCGACTTGTAGCCTCGATGTTGTAACTTGTAAAATTTAACACCCCTTGCAATTCTGTTTCATAATAATAAGACACGAATATTCCACTTTAATTGTTAATGTATTTTTTTCGTCGTCTTTTCCTCGCGAGCGTCCGCAATACAAAGAAACCTGGGCGGGCGACGGAACAAGGGCAGTTTCCGCTTTTATAACATTCCTCGCATACCGTAAGGGCTGCACCTCGGGGAAAACTTTTAATGCACTCTCGAACTTTAATCAATTTGTTGCCATTGTCAAAAGATGTGAACTGGTTCTTGAAAATAATCGCAATTCTGAAGTGTACGAAATATCATGTTGCAGCGAGATTTCTTTTTTGGGGTGGGAATTGGTTTCTGAAGACGTTAAAACGTACTTACCTACTTATTTGGGATCTTGGGTAGAATGAGCGACTGAGCTACGTTAAAAAAATGGAATTGTAGCTCTAATAGGTCTGATATTGCAACATCATGCAATACAAAGGTACGTAGGCTGTATAATAAATAATAGATTCAAAATAAATTATTATTTTTATGGCTCATAAGCAAAAAGTAATAATTACTTACTTCATCAGTAATAAAATTCAGTAGATATAAATTAAGCTTTAGGCAATCTACTAAATTGATCCCGTAGATTTTTATTATAGTCGTAATAACCGCCTTAACCCTTTTATGTTTGATAATAAGATTAAACTTTAAACAGTAATTATAATTATAAATTACCAAACAGCCAAAACATCCTCATTATACCTACCGAAAGCACGTGCCGTGTCCGTTAATTGGAAAATATTCTCCCGGAGGAGGAAAAATCGCGAAGTAATAAATGATGGGATCACTCCCGTTAGCGTCTGAACAGCCGTCAGCGGCAAGGACTGATTCCCTCTTTAGGGGTTCAGTTATGTAACTAATTGGACAGACGACGATGAATCTTCCCATTAAAACTTATATTTCAGTAGAAGTAGAGTAGTTGAAATGTAGGTGAATTTAGAGTAAACGATAGAGTGTTTCTAGGTAAGCAGGTTGGTGGTTTGAAGTAGTTTTAGCGTGTTACATTGAACACATTGTCGTAAAATATCTAAGTAACGTTCTGTTAAATCTTAAGTTACGCTCTAAGTAAGATGTAAACGCACGGAGTTTGTACAATGAATTTTTAAGGTAAAATCACAGAATAGCTCGTTAAAAATTCTTGCTCTAAAGTAAATAACGATGATAGGCACTCATTAGGTCTAACTAATCACTGAGTTTTATTGAAAACAAACAAATATTAGGTCTTTTGCCAAGTAGGCATTGATTAAACAAGACACGCTGTATTTAATATTCGTTTGCCTGCTAACTACTTCCACTACTAGACCAACTACGATGACGAACTATCAAGAAAATTCTCTCACTTCCGAACCCTAAAACTCGGAGCCCGAGTTCATAATTTATAAAATCGGCTAACAAGTTAACTCGTTCGGTTCACGCCAGCCGCTAATACTTATAATTTAATCAACTCTACAACTCCGCGGCTACGAAATTAATAATTACACAGTATCCTATCAACTCCCATCCGTTTCGAGTTCACAACAATTTGAGGTGACGAACTTTGTAAACGTTTTTCGCTCGCAACTTTCGGTCGACATTTTTCTGTTTCTTTTTTCCTTTCTTTCCCGGACACTCCAGACAGTTCTGTCCGCTGAACGCTGGATTGGTTCGAGTTTCCTTTTTTCAAATCTGTTAATGACAAAGTTTGTTTGTGATTTGTCATTTAGAGCGACTCTAAAATGGAACAAAAGTTTCGATGCGCGGTCTTCCGGTCTTGAAATATTAAAAGAAAGGAAACGATTACAGACAGCTCCTTTTTCGAGGTGGTGACATATTGTCTTCAAAGTTAAAGCTTTAAAAATAATTGCAAGGACACAGAAAATGTGTTATACTTCGAACTTTATACTTAGCGAATCTGTCTAAAAGGTGACAAGATTTAATAGTAACTTGTAACGCAGCATGTCCGCCTATAGTCCTTTGAACTTGCAAATAAAAAGTTTTCTATTCTATTCTATTCTAGTCCAAAAATAAGGTACAGACAAAAAACATGTGCTCACAATAATTTGAATATTGTCAAGTGGGCTGGAAGGGTTGTGCTCCAAAAAATATTTTCCCCAAACTCTTTTCGAGGGTTAATTGAAAACGAGATGGAACATTGAACTAATCATCGTACCATTCGGTTATCGAGGGCAGACCTCGATTAAATAGGTCGGAAACATGCCCTTTCGTCTGGAGAACAATCCCTGGATCTTACACCCCTTCGTGGTGATTCGAGGAAGCGGGAGCGCAAGCGTTTTCACATTGTGAAAAAAATTTCGTCGAAATTGCAATAAGACACTGAAGGGATTAAACCCCATTTTTCACGGAGAGTTTTACACTTCCTGATTTCGCAAGATACAAGTTGCATGATTGCTAGCTTATTTGTAACAAAAAAGAAGTAATAAGTACATACCACTTTCACTTTTAAAGAAATGCAATAGTTGTATGACAGTCTATTTCTCTTTTCTTTGTAGATGAATTTTTGCGAATATTTGTTTCAGTAATTATTTTCAAACATCACAACGTGGAGCGTTTTTTTCTCGAATTTGGTCTCAATCAATCTACTGATAATTTAGTATACAAGAAACAGCATACATTTGCTTTTGCTGCTATTCCTATGTAAAAAATATTCAGGCTCTCGCATCCGTGCGCTACATGTGAACTACCCTTATCTCCGTAAGAAAGGAAACCTATTCGACAGTGAAATTTTGACGTGTATTTTTAAGGCTTAACTGAAGGTTTCAGGACGACGTGTTGAATTTACGTTTGATTTGAGCTTTATTTCGAAAGCTGGAGAAGTTTTGTTTTTATATCAAACAGTTAAGTTTTTTCTTATTTCAATAAAATTGACTTGAGTTCTGAGAGTGAAGGTACCTGTATGTTTTTAACAGGTTCAAACCTGTAGAACTTGCAGATTTGTACGTAATCATATCAATATGATTCCAAATCTGTTCTAAAACACATGGCTATCTGCCATGGTCTAGACATGTGAGTTTCATTAATTTATTGTGGGTTTTCCGCTAGCGGCCAGTTTAGTTGAGTCACGTTAAGTTAGTTTTTTTTCAAATTCAAAATCTTTATTGCGTAACTACTAAGTGACAATTTCGTTCGTTTCAGCCAAATGACGTTCAGCTGGTTAAAAGCCTCCTCCAAAGATTTCTACAACGACAGTCGTCTTGCGCTGCCCGCATCTAGGTACCAGTCAGCTAAAAAGTAAGTAAGTAAGTCGTAGAAGAACTGTTGGGTAATTTGGGTCCAAAATTTAATAAATATACTCACGGCACCGAACAGCTGGGAGTAGAAGTAGCAGATGAGCGCCATCGGGATGCAGTAGCTCCAGACGAAGATGCAGGCTACGAACACCTTCGTATCCTGGTCATCGGTGAAGTAGTCAAACGAGCACGTGGTCAGGAAACCCTCTGGATGGAAGAAAAGGTACGGATGAGGTGTGCTGAAATAAGGTTATGTGTCTATGTATGTATATGGTCTAATTTGTAGCGTATAATAACGAAGATGCAGGCCACGAACACCTCCGTATCCTGGTCGTCGGTGAAGTAGTCGAACGAGCACGTGCTCAGGAAACCCTCTGGATGGAAGAAAAGGTAATGAGGTCAGGTTTGCTGAAATTCGGTTCTTATGTGTCTATGTATTTATGGTCTAATTTGTAGTGTATAATGACGAAGATGCAGGCCACGCACACCTTGGTGTCCTGGTCATCGGTGAAGTAGTCGAAGGAGCACGTGGTCAGGAAACCCTCTGGATGGAAGAAAAGGTAATGAGGTCAGGTTTGCTGAAATTCGGTTCTTATGTGTCTATGTATGTATTTATGGTCTAATTTGTAGTGTATAATGACGAAGATGCAGGCCACGAACACCTTCATATCCTGGTCATCGGTGAAGTAGTCAAACGAGCACGTGGTCAGGAAGCCCTCTGGATGGAAGAAAAGGTACGGATGAGGAGTGCCGAAATTAAAGTTCTATATGTTTGTAGTAGGGTCTATTTTCTATTGTCCTAAATGTGCGGTCGTCGGTGAAGTAGTCGAACGAGCACGTGGTCAGGAAACCCTCTGGATGAAAAGGTAATGAGGTCAGGTATGCTGAAATTCGGTTCCTATGTGTGTATGTATTCGGTACAATTTCTAGTGTCCTAATGAGTCATAATGTGTCATCATCGGTGAAGTAGACGAAGGAGCATGTGGTTAGGAAACCCTCCGAATGGAAGAAGAGTTACGAATGATGACAGGTGTGCTGAAATTAAGGTTCTATTGTGTCTGTGGATACGGTCTATTTTGTATTGTCCTAAATGTGTTGTCGTCGGTGAAGTAGCCGAAGGAGCATGTTGTCAGGAAACCCTCTGGATGGAAGAAACGTTACTAATGAGTCCTTGAAGAGTTCTTATGTGTGTACGTACATGTGTACGGTAACTTTTGTATTCTCTAAAATGAAACAAAATATGTCATGAACTTTTAAAGAGAAACTGACAATGGTGAAATAATTTCTTTTCGCTGCTTTTTATCACAATTGGCCAACATTTTTCAAAATATCAAATTATTCTTCGTCATCTCTCTCTATTGGTGGAAGAGCGAAAATCTCGAATCCCGAAATCTAACAGAGTCAGGACCCACAGTACATCAAATGTCATTGTTTCCAACCAATGACGTCACGAGTGTAACGCTCTCCCGACGATTGATAATCGGGATTACTCATCAAATGATGTCCGCCAGCGAAGACAATGAGGTGATCCAAGGACGGATGCACGCAATTTACGAACACAATTGCAACAGCTAATCAGCCTGTTAACTCTGTTTAGGGCATGTTCCCAGTAGCCAAAAGATCTTACGGTTAAATTAATATTTAAGCATCTTAATAAGATTGCAAACAAAATATTTAAATTAATTAAAAGTGACAAATTGTACTATTGTGAAACCAATTCGGCATTCACAAGAGTAAGACTAGGCGCAGACCACCGATTTTTAGTTGGCCGATAGTTGGGCCCGATTTTAGTTTGTATGAAGAATCGGCCAAATCAAATCGGCGTAATGTGCGCACTTCTAATACATGCCCATACTGATTAACTGCCCGACTAAACTATCGGTCGACGAAAAATCGATGGCCTGCGCCTAATCTAAACCTCTTGTGAATTGGTTTCACAATAGTAGATACAAGTTGATCATTCTATAGAACTCATGGAAAAAGTCTTGGAATGCAAGCTGGACTCATTTGATATGTCTATATGGCATAAATATGTCATACAGCGAATAGCTTCGTGGCCTGGATTAAATTCATTTCAAATTGTACAACTAGACGAAGGAGTTATGTATTTACTAAGTATTTATAAGCAAGTTCTAACAACAATGGAAACAAATCCTTATTTACGAGCAAAATGTATTTCGCAGTTTCAAATTCCGTAAATAAACTGCATGATAAATTGTCGCGTTTTGCGGTTAAAGTTACGGATACAGTTTTATTAGCAACAGTGTAACGGCCCGTTTATTATAAATTGGAGGGGTATCTTGTTATTAACAGCTACGAGCGTCGTTTAAACCGGTAGGGATAGCAGTTAAATAAGGTGAAAGCTAAACCTTACCTTTTTTATTCTTCCATTGAGAAGTAAGAAAAAGTATTAGAAGTTGTGAAAGAACATGCCCAAAACATTTCATCGTTTCATTCTCGTCATGTTCTTGAAAACCTATTCACACTTCTTGACCAGTACCTACTGCAATTTCTATGTGTTCATTGCCCAACCAATCAAGTGTGAAGGAAGTCTCTTTTTTAATCACACTGGAGAAGTTCTTGATGGAAAGTGATGATAAGCCAAAGGAACTCCACCACAGTGGAACAGGCTATCTTAACTTTAAAGTGCCGAAAATTACTTCAAATCCAGATTATGACATTATGGTCTCTTTGTGAAATTAATTAAGATAAAGAGAAGTTTGTAGCTAAAAAATCAACATTTTAGGTATTATAGCAGAATACGCTGTGTGAACTGACCTGGCACGAATCGTCCCCAGATCTTGGCAGCTGGGAGGATTGTGAAAGGCAGGGCCCAGAACCAAGTAAATGCAATAAGCAGAGCAGCTTGCACTTTGTTTATTCTTCCGTCCAGTGGGCAGGAGATGGTCCTGTAGAAAGAAAGAGCTCAGAGTATCTTATGTTATAATGTTAATTTGTTTAATCCAGTGGTATTTGGGCCTAGGGCTTGAGCAGAAAGTTCAAAAACCGACTGGGTTGAAGGCAGTTTTAATGTGGTGAACATGAGCATTAAGCCCACAGTTGTAGACCAAATGGATTCAACATTTAGGAAAGAATCAGATTTTTGGGTTTCACTTTGTGACGACCTATGAGTTGAAGGTATTATGTTTTTAACTTGGTAGAAGAAAAATGAAGTTAAAAAACATCTTTACTATCTTTAGGAAAGCGAAGTCATGCTTATAAAATTAAAGTAAATGACTCATATAACCCCCTTATTAATAAAAAGTTACACCGTGGATTAAAATGTCATTTCCGTACTAAATGACAATTTAAGCCAGAGTCCAACTAGGGTATAATTTTTATTAATAAGGGGGTTAGAGTTACAAATTAACTTACTTGTATCTGTCAAAAGCGATGACAGCATTAGTGATGGCCCCACCGATGCCAGACAAAGATCCCAACACAGCATAGATGTCACAACCGAGCTGGTAACCCACCAGCCGTTGGTGGAAGGAGTTCATGATGAGCAGAGGCATCTCCAGCATCATCATGAGGTCGAAGATGGCTAGGTTGATGACGAACATGTTGCTTGCACTCCGAAGGGATTTAGATCTGAAAGACAATGTGGTTTATAGCATTTTATTTATTGGCAAAGAATATTAAACCTATCTTAGTGACGCAATCCCTTTTTTTCCATGCAGAAAGTTTCTCACAAAGCATACACAGAGTGTTTTATTCGATGTAACGTCTCTACCAAAGCACAGATACGTGGGACACTATTTAAGTTGTGAGCCTAACTATGAAAACAAAGTAGTTTATTATTAAAATGGTATTGATTGCGTTTATTGGTATTGTCTTTCATGATTTATGTACTTTTTAATGTGTCCGAAACACTTTTCATAGCATTTTTTCCCCTCAGCTTGAGGCACCTCCAAAGCATGGTTTTTGACCGCACCGACAGTTACTTCTGGCTACATAAATCGCTGTTCACGCATTTAATTTTAATATATAGGTACCAAAAGAAGTGTTTAGATTCCAAGCAAGAGTTTTGTAGCGTTGGACCTGTTTATTTCATATTTTGAGTGTTCAAATAGTCAATTGTTTGACGAGACTTGTAAAAGCTCACATTTTCGTCACGAATGGCGATTCGACTATGCTGGTCAGTTTCCCTTATTAAACTGAAGACTTTTGGAAAAAAGTGGCTGTTTACTATTAAGAATTAATCATTCTAAATTTCTCTAGTGACGTTTCTGTCATATAATCGGATATTTCGGAAAAATAGGCGACCGTAAGTTTCAAAGTGTTCCGAGCGCAAGGGACTTTTGTTGGAATTGGTTCATCTTAAAACACCTCCATAGTCGATAGCTGTTTATTTTCAGGATAATTATGCATAGATCCTTAATTCGTTAACTGTCACAATTTTAAAAACGGCTTTTAAAGCTTTTCAAACGTATTTATCAAACATTTCCAAGGACTAAACGACACAAGCGTCCTATTGAGCGTTCGAAAAATTTTGTGACATCCAGCGAGAAAAAAACGTATTAACCATAATATGGTCCTACAATATTTTATTACTGCTAGTGGAATTAATGCCTAGGATTATCTCAATCCTACGATATATCACATGACAATGTTTCTCTTCCATTTTTTTGACAACATCAATGTTTTCCGCCACTATTAGTCATTTTGGACGACTTTCGCAAAGTTCACTGGTGAGACAATGACATACAATATTATACTTCTTAAACTAGCGTTTTACAATGGTAAAGGACAGATCTTTATTACCGAAAGTGAAATTTAGCTGACCGCTTCAGTTTTGTATTGATTAACCACGTCGAAAGTCATAATAAATATTCGCGCGAAAATTTCCGCATGTCAATTCCATGTTTTTGTAGTCAAGATAATTTTCAATTCAATATTAATAATACAAAACGTGCTTAAATGATAAAAAGTTTTGAATAAAGTTGTAGTGAAAAATGTCAAACTTTTCATTAAAAGTATCAGATGTCGTCTAACAACACGTTATGTTGTCGAGGCTCACAACTTAAATAGTGCCCTAGTACAGATACGGATAAAACTGTTCAATCAAAGCGATTTGCCGTTAAATTACATAACCAACATGTTGGTGGAATTGGAAATTCCTTTTATGTAATACTAGCTTTCCGCCCGCGGCTTCGCCCGCGTGGTATTTTGTCTGTCACAGAAAAACTTTTTCACGCGCGTCCCTGTTTCAAAAACCGGGATAAAAACTATCCTATGTCCTTTCCCGGGACTCAAACTATCTCTATGCCAAATTTCATGAAAATCGGTTTAGTGGTTTAGGCGTGAAAGCAAGACAGACAGACATACAGACAGAGTTACTTTCGCATTTATAATATTAGACAGATGTAAAATGTATTCTGTGTGTAATGTGTATAGACTGCCGGAGTTCGCCACATATTCACAAAAGAGAAGAAAAGTAGGTCAATATCGGTTTTAAAATCACCATTGGAAAAATACCCCGTAATGGCGTTTAGATACTTTTCCCATTTTGTTTCCATCCTCGACCGATAAAGGGCAGGGTGACGTAGCAAACCGCTTGATGACGTCACACACACCCATCAGGAACCGATACGGATCACATTGGAAATCCATTTTAGCTTTTCCACATTTTTTACTGGCGTAAATGCTTATCTGAGATTTTTATTGAAGTGAAAAGAGCATGTAGGTAAGTGTTTTTTGCGAAGCCTTTATTACTTTACGCATTGATGCACCCATTTTTCAAATATCTAAAGAAATATTTTTATAAAGTGAATATCAACAAACTCGTTTTTTGCCTAATTCCGGTGGCGAATTTTAATTTCCACTTTCCAAAACTTTTTTGTGGCAGAAATAATAGTAAATAACTTGTATTATTCAATGATATGGTAGAGACCAAAATATTATTGTAATGCATTTATAATTCATTATTTCATACAAGACTTGTGCCTATTCATAAATAATTGTAATTAAAATGTGGCCTGTAACATTTTGTTAGTCTCTCTTTATTTTGCTTTTACCTTTGAATATAATATTCGATAAACATTAGGTACTTATTGACCTAAAACTACCCTTAATTGTATAGGTAAACGATCTTCGAAGAGATTCCTAATGTAGATAGACATGGAAACGTCTGACAAATGGGAATTCCATGTATGTCCTCATATCATGCATAACTTAAACGGTAACAAGCAAATAATAAATGAGTAATGTGGTTCGAGATCGAATTCCAGCTTTCTAGGACTAACTGACTCGGTTGGAATTCGAAATGGAGTAGGTAGTTTGCTAACAACGGATGGCTTGGATTCGTTCAACTAGTTGCGGTTATGTGGAGGGAGAAAGGGGGTTTTGCAAAATTTTAAATTACTTATTTGTTATTGTTAATAGTGTTCAATATCGAACTAAATAGGAATTTTCGAAATCGGAGTCTTTTAAAAAAAATAAGTGTGATCATGGTTACTGGTAAAGAATGCCACTTTAGTACCGCAATCTTTGTGTGCAATAAAGATTTTTAAATAAAAAAATGGTCATACATTAAAAAATATTATGCGTCGACTTGAGAACCTCCTCCCTTTTTTCGTTGGTTCAAAAAATAAAAGCAGTTTCACGCCTAACGTTTTACCACAGATAATAGTTTTACGATCTTTAACTGTTCTGGAAACAGCTGCAAAATCTGAAATCTCCCGACGCGTGGCACAGTTACAGACGGCTAGAATAAATAGGATCGGCGCAAAAATGGCGGCGCGAACATTGGAAGCGATTTGAACTCTGGTAGTTCGCGCGACACTTGGTGAATCTTCTTGTTATAGAAACGGTGCTTAAAAGCTTCTACGTATATTTTGCGCAAGGATTTTTGCAAGAATTTAACTGTCATGTTTCAATAACCGGTTATATCGAACTTCAGTAAAGTTTTGATTGTTGAGTAAGTGTTTCATCTGAAACATTTATTTTAAACCGTTATTTATACTTATGTGCACAGTGCAATAAGAGTTCAAAACGCTGGTATGGTTTTTTCAAACATAAAAACCACACTAATATCTATTGGTCATCTAATCCAAGTTAAACAGCCTTGCAGATTGAATCACTATGGTAGGTATCTTGATTCATGTTTTAATTCGAAGCTACATTTCGTCTATACGTACTATAGAATTATTTTTAACTGAACTGCAAGTGTTTTCAGGAATAAACTACAATACAACGTTAGCCCGTATCTTCAAACTTATGATTGCGAATCCGTGTTCAGGCTAGGATCAAACTTCTCGTAGGTTCGGGTTTTATTTATCGCGCATTACATCCACTATTTATTTGCACGAAAAGGGACCGAATAAAGTAGCCCATTTTATGACGGTAGAGCAATATTTTGTCGCTTGTAATGTAAGTATACCTTGCCGTGTAACTAGGCGTTCTGTTGTCTAGGATTTTATGTCAGCTATTTCTCTTATAACCTGTAGGGTAATTCAAGTGCAATCTGTCATTTCAGTCTATTCTATTTGTCATTTANGCTGACGTCACAGCGGGCGCGGGAGTGTGACGTCACGCGGCGCGACAGCATGGCAGCTCGCCCTACTGCCAGGCCGTGGGCACCGCGTGCGAGAGAGGTGAGCGCGTCACCGCTGACGTCACAGCGGGCGCGGGAGTGTGACGTCACGCGGCGCGACAGCATGGCAGCTCGCCCTACTGCCAGGCCGTGGGCACCGCGTGCGAGAGAGGTGAGCGCGTCACCGCTGACGTCACAGCGGGCGCGGGAGTGTGACGTCACGCGGCGCGACAGCATGGCAGCTCGCCCTACTGCCAGGCCGTGGGCACCGCGTGCGAGAGAGGTGAGCGCGTCACCGCTGACGTCACAGCGGGCGCGGGAGTGTGACGTCACGCGGCGCGACAGCATGGCAGCTCGCCCTACTGCCAGGCCGTGGGCACCGCGTGCGAGAGAGGTGAGCGCGTCACCGCTGACGTCACAGCGGGCGCGGGAGTGTGACGTCACGCGGCGCGACAGCATGGCAGCTCGCCCTACTGCCAGGCCGTGGGCACCGCGTGCGAGAGAGGTGAGCGCGTCACCGCTGACGTCACAGCGGGCGCGGGAGTGTGACGTCACGCGGCGCGACAGCATGGCAGCTCGCCCTACTGCCAGGCCGTGGGCACCGCGTGCGAGAGAGGTGAGCGCGTCACCGCTGACGTCACAGCGGGCGCGGGAGTGTGACGTCACGCGGCGCGACAGCATGGCAGCTCGCCCTACTGCCAGGCCGTGGGCACCGCGTGCGAGAGAGGTGAGCGCGTCACCGCTGACGTCACAGCGGGCGCGGGAGTGTGACGTCACGCGGCGCGACAGCATGGCAGCTCGCCCTACTGCCAGGCCGTGGGCACCGCGTGCGAGAGAGGTGAGCGCGTCACCGCTGACGTCACAGCGGGCGCGGGAGTGTGACGTCACGCGGCGCGACAGCATGGCAGCTCGCCCTACTGCCAGGCCGTGGGCACCGCGTGCGAGAGAGGTGAGCGCGTCACCGCTGACGTCACAGCGGGCGCGGGAGTGTGACGTCACGCGGCGCGACAGCATGGCAGCTCGCCCTACTGCCAGGCCGTGGGCACCGCGTGCGAGAGAGGTGAGCGCGTCACCGCTGACGTCACAGCGGGCGCGGGAGTGTGACGTCACGCGGCGCGACAGCATGGCAGCTCGCCCTACTGCCAGGCCGTGGGCACCGCGTGCGAGAGAGGTGAGCGCGTCACCGCTGACGTCACAGCGGGCGCGGGAGTGTGACGTCACGCGGCGCGACAGCATGGCAGCTCGCCCTACTGCCAGGCCGTGGGCACCGCGTGCGAGAGAGGTGAGCGCGTCACCGCTGACGTCACAGCGGGCGCGGGAGTGTGACGTCACGCGGCGCGACAGCATGGCAGCTCGCCCTACTGCCAGGCCGTGGGCACCGCGTGCGAGAGAGGTGAGCGCGTCACCGCTGACGTCACAGCGGGCGCGGGAGTGTGACGTCACGCGGCGCGACAGCATGGCAGCTCGCCCTACTGCCAGGCCGTGGGCACCGCGTGCGAGAGAGGTGAGCGCGTCACCGCTGACGTCACAGCGGGCGCGGGAGTGTGACGTCACGCGGCGCGACAGCATGGCAGCTCGCCCTACTGCCAGGCCGTGGGCACCGCGTGCGAGAGAGGTGAGCGCGTCACCGCTGACGTCACAGCGGGCGCGGGAGTGTGACGTCACGCGGCGCGACAGCATGGCAGCTCGCCCTACTGCCAGGCCGTGGGCACCGCGTGCGAGAGAGGTGAGCGCGTCACCGCTGACGTCACAGCGGGCGCGGGAGTGTGACGTCACGCGGCGCGACAGNTAGCCCACTGGGTCTCTTAAGAGTCGAGTGAAAAGGTATTTACTAAAGAAACGTGCTTTATCTTGGACCTTATCATCACATATCAACTGAGAATGAGTCAGTCGTTATAAAACAGCTGTAAGCAATATTAAAGGATCATGACGTGTCTCTTTTGTTTCTCAGCCTTTAAAATGTAATTAGGGTAAAGTTATTAGACTACTCACAAAATGAGTGGTTACATAATACCATTTTATATTTAGAGCATGTGCTCCAGCTTTTTGTGAATAAAGACGTTGATATTAAGGCTATAAATAGAGCATAATGTGGCCTTTAATTAAAATTACTTACTAATTACAATAATTAGGCTATGATCACAGGTCACAGAAACTAAAGGGAGATGTGACAAGGGGGCGGGGCCGGTGTCACAGCAATATGCCCAAAAACAGAACAACATTGCTCGTGACAGCAATGATGACAGCAGCGACGTCATAATGTAAACAGTTTACATTGCTTGCGTAGTACTAGATTAATCGAACGTTGAGTACTTTCTACGTTCGGTGATTTCAAACTAAGCGCATTTAGTTGGCATCTCTCTATATCTCTATGGCTATGATAATATTTACTTACCCTGAAAACTCTAACTATTTCACTGATGATAAAGTTATTCTCGTATTTGGCACCAACCAATGCGCTGCGTAGTAATCTTTTTTAAGCAAACTAACAATTTTGTTTGCTGTTAAAAATTAAGCTCGGCTTTTCATTCACTAACTTGCCTCTACAGCGGCCAACTAATTTAACTGAAAAACCTAATTTACCGATTTAAATGTTCCTTTTCGTCCTAGTTACTCTCAGTCTCTCCAGAGACCGCACTCAAGCGTCGTTCGTAGTTCGTACAGACGAAAGCACGTCAAGTTAACTGTGCACCTTATTGACTTTTGATAAGGGCGATTTTGCTACAAAAACGTGTTTAGTCTTATATGCTGTTGTACATTAGACATTAATCAAAAGGCTTCCACTGGAGTTGACGATATTCGAAACCAGCAAACGTTAACTAAATCTATTTTAAATCAACAAATGATTGAGTCTATTGCAATTTCAATAACACCAAGTTCTGTTTGGATGTATGTTATTTACTTTACGTCAGTAGGAAGTCGAGGTGAGAGATTTGAGAGTCATTATCTAAATACAAGGACACAGGGAATAAGTAGGTAAGTACCTAATACTTATTAAACATAAGTATTCTAATGGACGACTCTATCACATCATTAGAACGATTATAAGTAACTTATTTAGAAATAAGTTACTAATTACATAATGTCACGTACTAAATACTTATAATTGTTCTAATGATGTGATAGAGTTGTCAATTAGAATGTGTTTAATAAGTAGGTCATTCGTCCAATGGGCAGGTTATTACTTAATGTTAAAGGAATCCATCGGGCTAGTTGTAGACGTCACTGTTAACCAAAGGGAACTTAATGACGTCAGCAGTACGCTATACTCACGTGCCAAAGATCCAGATGACAATGCCATTCCCAGTGAGCGAGGTGACCATCAACATGGTGTAGATGAGAGCCAGGCAGTAGTGCCAGTACTTGCTGACCGCTGGGAAGTTGCGCCAGTGCTCGTGGACCAGGTCCTGATGCTCTTCTGGAATGTTCCAGCCGAGCATGTGTTCCACCACCTCTTTGGACACCCTGGGAAAGAAAGAATTTGTAAATGATGATGTAGAGGCGAAATAATGTTCGCTAATCATCATCAAGCTAGCCAAGGATGCGCACCATGATATAATGTTATCTTTAGACGACAAAGGTATGCTTTTATCGTCTAAATACCTATGGCGTACATCTTAGGACATTTAGAGAACACTGCAGGAGCACGACTCTCTCCAAACGGGTTGCGGAGGCCTGATGGGGCATGTCCCTAGTTCCCTACATGTTGTTCGCTGTATATTCCTTTAAAAAATTGTATGTAATATACGAATAACATTATTATTCTGTGGTAATATGGAAATCCAGAAGACCCATTGCTTTACGAATGAAGATCTAAGTACTACGAATCCGCTTATTTCGGAATACAGTAAAAGGGTCATAAACTGCAAAAGCGGGATACAAAATTACTTCATTTAATCGAAATACAATCTTATAATGGACGATCCCGTTTTAAAAGCTCCGACGTCCCGGAAATCCCTTCCGGACAGTTGAAGGCCTTCGTAACTAAAAAACGGGCGCGATTACTTAAGAAAAGTAGTACTATAGTTTGCATGAAGAATAATGACTTCGGTTGTACGTCACAATTCTTTTTAAAAGAGGAAGATTTAAATAGGTTAAAGTTAAAGGACATAAAAAAACAAATTAAGAACTTGAACTCGTTATTCCCTCAAGTTGAGGCCGGCGGGCACTGAATATTTGTTTTTATTCCCGCATCGCAGGCGGATAGCCTATTTGCATAAGTAGCACAAATACGTACATCTTCAAAGGGTGCGCCACTGGCCCGATGTCGAAGTCCGTGAAGTTTTCCGCCATTTTGTGCGTGTGCTTTTTCAAAATGGCGCCGCGAGAAAACCGATTGCGTATTCGAACACTATTTTGACATTTAACTTAAACTATTGATGACTGGATATTGGTGTTTCTATGTTACTTAATGACGAAGTGAGTAGTCCGACATTGGATGTCGCTTCTCACTTGTGACCGGTTGAGTGCGCGAAAGGTTTTTATACGGTTCGTAAAGTGCGTGACAGTTAATTCCTTAATTCAATAAAATAGTAAAGCTTCTTATTTATTTGGTCAAGCGTGATCGAATCGCGGTCATTAGTTCTCAATCTGTACAAGTGTGGTCAGTGATTTATACTTAGTTAATTTCAGACAATGAATAAATAAAATAATTCCACTCTCTAAAATAATACAAAACGGTTGACTTCATTTGAAATAATCTAGAAACCCGATCTAGAGTCTACTAAGTTAAGTCTTAAGAAGTTGGGAGTATAATTATAATGAATGATTGTTGATAGCGCAGCATAGTACAAAAGTCTTGTTAAAAGCGTCCCAGGTTTGATTCCCGGTTGGGTCGATTGAAAAATATTTCATGTTATTGTGGCTTACGGTAAATCAAATGAGTAGTGCTAATTTTATATTAATTTTATGTAGGAATTGAAATGCAGTTCTAATTCCCACGTATTTATTTGCCCAAGATAAAAAATAATAAAAATAGCAATTCAAAACAATCGTCGTTCGTCTACACGTCGTCGTGCGTCACACTCACACACTCTTCCTTCTCTTTCACACATCCTTACGTTTCGTTTCTCACTCATATCCTACATTTATATGGTTATTTTTTTATTTATTAACTACATCTGTCTCTACATTGAAGGGCATTCAACAATTACAATTATCAACCCGTCATTCAAACCTAAGCACTTAAAATGTGCTCAAAATAATTTCTGCTTTGTCAGTATAATTAATTACCTTTGAGTTTAATTAATGATGAGCAGCTGATTAGGGACTCACACAAGGGTTCGAATCAATAGGATAAAAGGAGTTTGTTCATTATTATTTTTTAGAAATGTTGATATAGATTATTTTACTGATATTTTTTAAAACAGTTGTGTCTAAAGGTGTCCCTTTAGAATGTCGCGGACCTCTTTAGTAATATCATTTTTGAATTAATGACGTTGCTGAACTAAGAAGAGTGTTATAGATTTATGTCTAGGGTAAGAAGAATATAATAGTTAACTGTCTTTCAGTCGTTGTACGTACGAAAGCAATTTAGTTGAGCACGGTAGCATCTTCCTAGTTATACATATTCTTCTAACTTGCAACGAAAATGTATAATAATCTGATGTCATAAGTATCAAACAATAATATTTTTTGAAATCGGTTCCAAACTCACGGAGTTTTGCTGTAAGATCAAGAAAACATACATTGGGAACCTTCTCCTTTTTTGAAGTCGGTCAAAAAGAATAGACACCAAAATAATACTCAGCCATAATCGTTCGTTCTTTCTTTGTATTCGCGCGGGCATCGCGGCGATCCCGTCAGGCACCGCGTGCTTTGAATTCACCCCTATTCTAAAGGGTGACGTCGGCACATATGTTTTTAACCAGGTTCGGATCTTGGAAGGGTCACTTTGTAATAGCCATAAAAAAAATAGAGAATTCCGTTTATGACTCACATAATACCACAATTTATTAGGACTAGGTTTTTGCTAAGGAGATGTGTGGTAGAAAAATGTGCTTGAAAATTTGAGTATGTTGTTATTGAAGTTTCCACCTACAAAATAAATAAAAAAAATTGTAACTAGTTAAAAATTCCTGAAAAGTAAAAAAAAACTCTACAATATGATTTTGACAACAATAAAGATTTTTTTTCCTTTCTTTCATAGTTTTGAAACTATTTGTTAAATACCTGTCATCTATTCTTTCGTACAGCTGCAGAATAAGGCCGCAGAGGCCGCGACCTCCCGGCGCCTGTGGCCTGGCTTTATGAATAGTGTGGATACTTCCACAAGAGAAATGTCCTGTATTATTAGCTGAAGTGTGGCCAGAGTGCTGCCAGCTGTTATTTTATGTTGTAACAGGGCAATAAAAGATATTTGTAAGTAATAAACACAGTTTCTGCGAATTGCATGTGTAAAGATGAGGTTAGATGTAGAGTAGGTACTATTTTGGCTAATAAGAGGGAAAAGTAGAACAAATTAATCATTAAAAAGTATTATCCATTTAAAGTTGCTTAAAAGTTAGATCTTTTTAATATTTGCACGCTTCCTAGTTCGAGCAAGTTTCAGTGAAACCTACCAAATCTTGTAAGACCACTTTGTACCTGGAATTACGCAAATAAAGCAATTTGATTTGAATCTATCCTTGAAACTGATATTAAGTAAACGAGTAGATACAGGCGTAGGTAGATTCTCAAGCCGTTTTTGAGCAGTCTTAGCGTACAAAAACAGAATTCTAAACGTCTAATCTCACAATCAGTCACTTATCCATTACTTTACTTATCAGAAATACTTATAGTAGTACGGACCAGGGACCTCTACCTACTTTTATAACATTTTATGCCGAAGATTCTAAGAAATCCATCATCTATGAGTTATTATGCCTAAGTAAAGACCCTTCAAGGACTGTGCCCTTGAAGCGCATGCGGTCACGCGCGTTAGCTGTAACACAAATGGTCATACCTCGTCGCCAAGCCCGCAGTGGCCAAACCACTAGAACCACTTGGCACGGGAACGTTACTGCATGATCCGAAACATACATAATAGGCACCTACGAAGTTGTATCAAAACAATACAACGTTGATTTAATATTTAAGACGTTTAGTATTTCTATGTAGGTAATATTGGTTATCTCGTCCATCATACCTCTTATCGCTTAGCTGATAAAAGAAGACCACACCTCAAGGAAGTTATTACTTAGTAGGAACTTACCTACAACTTCAGGAATCAAGAAAATTAGTAGTAGAACCTTACCTACAACTTCATGCAAGACAGCCCATCCTCGATGCCATTGTATTGTAGCCATTTATCTCGCAAAATTCAGAAACGCACCGCACCACAGATGTTTGTTCCGCCACAGTTTTATTCTTGCGAAAGACAACAAAAGAGAAAATACGTGAAGACATTTTGTGTTTCCGGCAATCTATACTCATTTTAAAATTCCTCGCAAGTACTTAACAAATCGTTTAGCAATCATAAAAGAGAATAGAAGTATGTTCGGCATCTCAAATTAAAGGACTGCGAGCAAAAGTTAAAGCTTGGTAGGCCTAAAGGATGCACAAAGTAATGAAAACCCAGCGGAATTGTAATGTAAAATAATAGTCCCTTTGTAAGAGATACTCATTCATTCACTGAACGCACAATGGCCACCGCAACTGCAATTACTTAGCCACAAAACTGGGTTACTTAAATTTAATGTTAGTTTAAATTGTACGGAAAACGACCATTTTTAAAGTTCAGTAAAACGTGCGAGCGGTCATTGTGGTGCGAATTTTGACGCGATGTTTTCGAATATTCGAGAGCGCTTTGTCTACGTGATTTACTAACAAGTTTAACAAATCCAACGTTGCACGCGTTGCTTACGAAGTTTTTGGTGAACCCGATTTTCCTACAATACTTTTACAAATTGTCTGTCTGAAATATACAGAAATACAGACAATATTGTTGACAAATTGAGCTCGTATCTATGTAGCTGTTTTTCGAAGGACTGACAACTATTTGGGCGTTCAAGGACGTTACTGATTGACGTCTCGGCCTAAATTGTTATATTGTCTGGGAGTAAGTAGTTAGGATGTCCGTGGTAACGTTTAGTAGGCCTGATGCACGAAGCACTGAAGAGTTGAATCCTGGAGAGTTGTAACTCTAAATAATAGTCCCTCATAATACATGATTTGCGAAAGATGTATGCGTGGATGCACCTTTATATTAAGTTCAGTTGAAGTTTTTGTTTGTATAACAGTGGTGTATCGCAATATCACGTAGGAATTTCGAGTAGCACTAGAAAAATTCTGTGTTGCATGGCACCCGCCACCGCCCCTAGTAAAAAACCACGGTCCATTTACAAATTACTCAGCGCGGAACGCTCAATAGCAGTGAACTAAAATTCGTGCGGCTGTATAAATTTGAATAAACCGTTCGAGATGTGGGGTGCCTTTGTAAAGGCACTCATTTTTCCTCTGCGGGTTTACACATGAAATTACTAACTCCTCAGTACTTTGACGGCGATGGAGCGTTGGATTTCCATAATTTCTTGCTTTGGTTCGGCCCGATCGGAGGATCGTTTCTTCGCATTTTGGTTTACTTAAATGATCTTGAATGCTTTTGAAAAGTCACGAAGTTAGCACGCATTTAGTTAGGAAGATTATTTATTTTTTTGTACCCACTAAGCCTTATTCATGCTGTTAGCTTCACAAGTCATAGATACAAAAGCCTTCGTTACTTATTTACGTCTCTATTTCATTCTAGAATACGTTTCAAATAACAACCTTTCAGACTTTCATACATGTAAATCACTTTCGACACCACAAATTGATTTACTGTTGTGTCTGGAGTCACCCCGTCAACAAATTAAAAGAAAATATAGGTCGCTTGCCACCAAAACATCGAACAATCACAAATTCGTTAGTGTGAGCCGTGTCGTTATTCTGTTTACGTACCGTGACGCGCGTTTTAACGAACAGTTGTGATAGACTTTCAACAAATAGCGTTAACAAGAAAATCGTCTGAAAACAGCCCTGGGCGCGGAATTCCGAGCTCTCCAACTTATAATGACATTTAGATATCCTTGTCATCGGCCAGGGGGAGGGGGACGGTCGCCCGCTCCAGAAATTATCGGGGAATATTTCTGGATTTCCAACCATTTGACATGTAATTTACTCGGCTTCGCTCCGAAATGATTCAAGGGTGTTATTGTCTGACGATTTAATGTTATTAGGAGTTCTCTCCACCATTCTTTTGGATTGAAAGCGAACGTCATTAGTGGGGATATTTAATTTGAATGTTTTACCGATAAGAGGATTTTTGCAGGCCGTTTCGGCGTTTCCAGAATAAATTGTTAGAATTTAAATCTTGACAAATGCGCCGCGGAATGGGACTCTGTCCGCTCAGAAATGCGAAGTTTTGTAAGTTTGCGAACTCAATAACTATAAACATTTAGAATTTAAATGATTCGCTAACTTT